ATGTGATTTGTATTCTATTATATTAATATTAAAATTAATGTAAACTTAATCAAATAAAAACACTTTACTCATTTTTTAAACTCATTCATATTAAAAAAATTAGAAGACAATTCAAAAATAATAAATAGATTGAAAGGTTAATTTGTTAAATCAGTACCTGATTGTTTTTGAGTTATCCTTTGTTGGCCATCTGCCATCGGACTGCTGAGGTCTTCCTCCAAAGGTCAAAAGTCCCTCGATTCACTGAATAGCATCGGGCACAAGAGCCGTTGTTGACCAGTCGCTTGCCATAATCAAATCTTAGCTTATGGGAGTGTGTAGTTTCAGTTTGTCATCCAGTTCTACCGACATCAAATCTCTGGTAGTCTGAGTCCGATTAGTCGCAAATGGGAACACCATCATTAAGATCTCACCGTCCCTGAAGTGTCTTCGTCTGGTCGCTGATGGCCCTGTTCCTGAAATTTCGCCATCCTTGAGGTTTCCCTGTCTGGTCACACACTCTGAAGCTGAGGCTCTGTTGTTGGCTTGTTGCCAGTGTTGAAGCTCTGCCGTCGCAAGGTGGGTCTCCTCCTGTCGTAGTCGGTTGCCAGCAACTAGGGTTGGTGAGAATATGAGATGCTCTTCAATAACTTTCCCTTCAAATTTAGACCGCCTCATTGCTTATAACTTATAAGTTATACTCGTATGAACGAAGGATTGATGGGCTATGAGCTGCTTAGAGCCCAAGATACATAAGAAGTAAATACTAAAAAAAGAGTTCGGTATGATACCATACCGTACCAAAATTTTCAGTAAAATTGATTTTTTCGGTACGGTAAATACGGTATTTCGGCATTTCGGCAATTTTCCCAGCCATAGTTATGTTCTAAATGAACTCTTGAGATTTCCCATGACCCAACATAATCAAAATGTGCTCTAGTTTGTGCTAAGCATTGTGATTGCATTGAAGGTTGGGGTTTCAAACAATTTTGCGACTTGCTACATCTACACCTCGCACGAAAACACTGTATTACTATTCCCACTAAAAGCCCTTTAGTTTTGTCTTTGGTTGATTTTCTTTTTCGTACAGGAAATCCGCTATTTCTAGCACATTTCGCATAAAAATCATACACTTCTTCCATGCTACCAAACTTCATGTCCACTTCTGGAGCTTTAACATTGTTGTTATCTCCTTGTCCATCTGTTACACAATACTCATAATTACATTGTTGTGTCTCTAGACACATACAACACCCATATAGTAGTTGTCTGTATACAGACAATATCTGTCGGTATACAGACATGAGAGCTCTTCTCATCAGGCCGGCCTGACGGGCTGCCCCGTCCGGCCGAGCCCGTTTGGGCACCTTCCCGGTGGAATTTTTTGATGAAATTTTTTGAGCATGTTTCTCATCAAGTCTAGTTTGTCCATACCAAATTTCAGCTCAAAATTCGATCGGGAAGGTCGTCAAATGATTTTTGCAAGTTAACTGGTCCGGAAAATACATATTCCGGACCAGTTAACTTGCAAAAATCATTTGACGACCTTCCCGATCGAATGTTGAGCTGAAATTTGGCATGGACAAACTAGACTTGATGAGGAACATGCTCAAAAAATTTCATCAAAAAATTCCACCGGGAAGGTGCCCAAACGGGCTCGGCCGGACGGGGCAGCCCGTCAGGCCGGCCTGATGAGATGATTTCTCATACAGACATTAATTAGTTTTCTTTATATGCTAATATCTACGGTACATCTTTTTAGAACTCATGTTCGTAAATAAGTCATGCATGTACACATAGATTGCATTACCAAATCATCTTTGTGTTCACATTAATACAAAAAAACACCATAAACACCTTTTACAGACTAAATGTCTGTATATGAATGAATATTAGTTGTCCATGTATATTAGTTGTCTATGTACACAATAATTATAAGTCGTCTATGTACACGTGGACTGCATGAAGAACCCGCTTTTCCCTCCAAAAAGTACAAAAATAAAGAGAACGAACAATAAACACCTTCTAAACAACTACCTAAATCATCCATGGCGTCCATGTTCATGTTCAACCGTTCCCATTGTTTGAAGTAGTATTACCATCTCCAGTTGTCGTCGTCATTTCCATCAACAACTCCTCATACCAATCTTCTTCAGTTGGTGGTATTATAAAATCCATTCCTAAACAATGGAAAAATGGACCTTTGTTATAGGGGAGTGAAGAGGGTGATGTCTACCAATGACGCTTGGAGAGTAAGAAAAAAATTGAAGAGAGAGAAAAAAGAGAAGCATGTGTGGTGTGGGAGGGGGGTAAAATTTGATTAAAAAAAAACTATTTATAATGTGGACACATGTGTGTAAAGGGGTGTGTACAATGTACACTAAGCCTAACCCATAAAAGAAAAAGAAAAAGAGACTGCTACACTGATATGGTTCTTCATTGCCCCTCATGTCTCAAGAACCAAAAAAATTGAGATCCTAAAAATAAACAACAACGCTTGATGTATCCACTCTTATATCCACTTTATACTCACCATGTTTGCGAAGGTTTACAGACAAAAATGTGTTATTTTGTCGTCTGTGCAAATTTTGCACAAACAAAATATTGCCTGTGAACGGAACTCATAGACATAAATAGTCTCACAAACATGGGTGAGTACAAGAGTGGATATAAGAGTGGGCACAAACATCATTTTTGAAAAACAAACCTATATGTGTTGCACAAATTGCAATACAATCGGGAAAGAGGGGGGGTGCAAGACAGGGATGGTTCAGTACGGTATACCGAATATTTTCTCTCATACCTTTGTCGTACCAAAACTTTCGGTATACAAAATTTATATACCGTTACCTTACTGAAATTTTGGTATACCGTATTTCGGTATACCGAACTTTCGGTTTAGTAACAGTACTGTATCGGTAAATTATCATGCCTATCTCACAATACTACAAATTATCATAGACTAACAAATATAGCGACATATTTAATCCAAATTATTAAAATATGTCATATTAAATACATCATCATCATTACCTCAATGACGCAAAGGCTCACACCTACGGTGGGGTAAAGGGGAGTCAGATGTACGCAATCTTACCCATGTGCTTAAAGCACAGAGAGACTCTTTCCGGATGACCCATAGTGAAAACCGCTTCCACAATTTCATTGACTGGTTGCTACTTCATAACAAAGAAGTGCAGATAGTTCAGCCGTTCAGGGAGCCATTTTGCTTTATTTCATCATATTCTCAAGCCAAAAAAAATAGTGAATCTTTGACTCCGTTGCAGGAAAATGTCATATTCAATATTGAACAATAATTATTATTAGCATATTTAAGCACATGTCACATATTAAAAAATAACACATTCTCCTAAATAACTTGAACAATATAGATATGATTAAATCATTAATGAATAGTGATCTCTAACAAAAATAAATAAAACTATTCAAACAACATGGATACAAAATCATTTATACCTAATATGATATTGTGTATTTAGTCATTTTATAATTTCAAAAAAATATTTGAAATAGACTTTCAGACAAAGTTGTGTGTCTTGACTCCCGCAATCCCTATGTAGATACACTCATCACATAAGTGTATCCCTTTTCACTTGTTAGCTACTCAGCGGCTCAGCCATCGTGACTCACAAGTTCGTAGAACAAGATGGACCGGTTTTTGGACATTAGTATACATTACTCATTAGTTATAGGGTTAGTTTGTTTGAATGTTACGTAGTAGAATCCTATAAGGTTATAGTGGGTTCGGGAAATTGTATCTTTCTTTTTGTATTTTAGTATTTGTAACCAATCTAAGTATTAATTTTGGATTTCAAAATTGTAATGGACTTTTACAATATTTTAGAATTTAATGTAATTGTTGGGTAGAGAATTGGTACGGTATTATTCCGGTATACCGCGGTATTTGAAAACATTTACCGTTACCATACCGAAAAAAATCGGTACGATATGATACCATACCAAAAATGACAGTATACCAATACTCCGGTATTTCCCGGTATTTTTTCGGTACAATAATTGTGGTATACCGATTTTCCGGTATTTTTTAAAAAAATTGCCTCTATATTACCACCTGAGTTTTCATTTAAAAAAATATGACAACTTTTCCTTTTTCCAAAAATATGACATTTTAAAAAACCCCAGCCGTAATCATTTGCATATTTCCGTCGCCCCATCTTCCCCAGTGCAAGTCGTCCATCTTCTTCGCTCCCAATCGAAGCTCATTGATTGAACCAGAGGCGAAGCATCCCGCGAACTCGGAATCCACAGCATCTCCATCGCCTACCCCTGCAACGCCGCCATCTCCACCAGGCCAGAGTCGTCGAGAGCTCGTTCGCAACTTGCTTTACATTCCAGAAGCTGGAAGACTAGATCTGGTCTGCTTTTCATTCGATTCGTTTTGATTTCCATTCGATTCGTTTCCGTCCTTCTTTGATTCGTTCTTCATCGTCTTCGTCCTCCCTATTCTCCTCTTTGTTCTTCGCGTTCAACGACTGTATGACTAGATGGCGGCTAGGTTTTGGGATGCGATGAAGGCAGGGGATGGGATTTAGGAGGCTAGGAGGGGATATGGATAGGAGGGGGCGACTGCAGGGGTTTGGAGCTAAGGAGGGAATAAGGGAGAAGAGGGGGGGCTGGGCAGTCGGAGGGTGCTGTGTCAGGGAAAGGGGAGGGGAGGGGACTGGGGATGGTGCAACGATTGTGCAGGACTGGGGCTGGGGTGTACTGGACCTGGGGTTCGATGGTTGGCCGGAGTGGTGGCCGAGACTGTCACACGGAGCTGCAGGGGGAGGGTGCAGGCACGCGGCATTCAACGACGTCCATGGAGTTGTACAGGGGCTAGAAACCTTGAGGTGGTGGTTGGGGCGGGGGTGGTGCAGTGACTGTCGTGAGGGGGTGGGGCAGTGATGGTGTGTGTGGTGACTCTGGAGGTGGCTGAGGGCTGAGAGGGGGCTGGGGAGTTGGCGGCGGGCTGGGGAGGGGGCTGGGGATGGCGGTCGGGGGGTGGCGGTGGCGGTTTGCGTCCGTTTTGCGTGTCACTATGGCTGAGTAACTGTGGTCGGTGGGCCAGCAGTCATTGTGGCCGGAATCGGGTGTCATTGTGGCCTGAATCGGGTGTCACTATGGCCGGAGTCACTTTGGCCAGAGTCACTGTGGCCAAAGTCACTGTGGCGGTGGGGCAGCCACTGTGGTCGGTGGGGCATTCACTGTGATTGGTGAGGTCACTTTGGGCGGAGTCACTTTGCTCGGAGTCACTTTACACTGCAGGATTAATTGTGATGTTGGTCACATTTTTAGAATTTTTAAAAATAGATCACTTTTCTATCTTTTATCCTATTTTTAGTAATATTGAAATAAAAAGGCCTATTTTTTGCCCCCTAGGTGCAACTTCTTAAACTTGTGAGTTAGTAATCATCTTGCCATTGAAATTCAACTATCTTCCGGGTTCGGAATCAAAGAGAAACAAGCAGCTTTGAAAACATTCTCAGCAAGACTGAAAAATGGAGGAAATCTCGCAATCATCCGCGCCACCACTTGATTCCCTCAAACTGTCCCACAAGATTACCGAAGTCGCCGCCGGAGAAGCTCACACTCTCGCTCTCACCGGTTTCTAAACATCGAATTTATTATTTCAATTGTAACTTAATCATTATCGTTAGTGGATAAGGTTTTTCATATTCCTTTTTGTTGAACAAAAAGTATTCTCTTGCAGCGGATGGGAGCGTTTATTCTTGGGGAAGAGGATTTTTTGGCCGGCTCGGCACTGGATCGGAGCTCGACCAGATGTTTCCTGTCAGAGTTGAGTTTGGCTCTACGGCTGTTAAGATTGTGGCTATTGCGGCTGGAGCTTATCACAGTCTCGCGCTTGCAGGCAGGGCTATTATTAGCTGTTTATACTGTTTATTTTCATTGTTTGATAGCTATACTCTATTATTAAATGCTTTGGTCTTTCTAAGGGAAGAATCTGTCTGCACAATAGGTATTTGAATTTGAGTGAATATGGGGTTTGTCAATATGCTTTATGTTGATCGTGCTAGAAATATTATTTAAACAGACCGAATTTAATAAAACGGAGTACAAAATAATGAGCTTGAAACAATTCAACACGCTAACCAGGGAATGTAAAAATAGTAAACAACAATAAAATATACCATGCATGAGTACAATAATGGATAAATTAAGTTAAATGCAGATGAAAACATTATTGAAGATTGCTCGACAAATGGGGTAGTGTTGAAGAAAGATTGCCTGCACCACTGTTTGCTAGACATAAACAAATAGAATGAGACTGGCAGCAATTAACTGGAACAAGTTTTTCTCGGCGATGCCTTAGTTACGGACTTGACTGTACTGCGGAATGTATTTCCAGAGTATATTATATATTATTGGTTGTGCAATCACAAGCTAATAATATATACGGAGTAGTATATTTAGGAAAGTGGTAGTCTGGTAGAGGTGGTTAGCTTATCCAACTTGTTAGCCATGAAGTTAGGATCAGGCAAGCAACATATACCTCATCCTATTTCACTATTTGATCTTATAAATTATTATAAGATGCCATATTGAAACGGGACATTAAATTCAACATAATTGATACGCCACTTAATAGCACTCAACTATGTATTCTGATCATTAAATGACCTTCACCCAATCATGAAAGTTGTTCTTTGATGTACAGTAAACCTTTTGAAAACTATACTATATAGTTTATACATTTATATCATGTAAATCATAAATAGACCTATCAAAATTTATAATTTCATCATACTTTCTACTGAAAACAGATCATATATTCATATTTACACAAGTACGGGTCAACGTGATTCTATTTAAACAAATAATTGTCGCTCTTCATGCTGATATAAGTCCTGTTAATCCTTTTGGAATACATTATTAATGAACAAATCATGAATTGTTTACTCACTGCTATGTTATTTAGATGCCCCCAACAACAATAAACTCTAATAGCTGTTTTAAACTCATTTGCTTTCTTTTTGCCTTTTTTATTGCAGATGATGGGTCTATTTGGGGATGGGGTTATAATTTATGTATCCTTCAGTTTTTTTTCTTTCGCAAATAGCCCCTCTGCATCTACTTTATAGCTAAAGGATTATTCGTCATTACTATTTTAAAATCCCTGACTGATACATGGACGACCAACTTGGTGCAAATGGAGAAAATTCGCTAGCTCCTCGTTTACTAGAAGGATTCATTGGGCTGGGTTCCCTCAATGCCTCAAGAGAGGAACCAGAAAAGAAGAAATTAATGGTAAGCTTTTTTCATAATGATTGAGCCTCATAGGAGATTAGGAACTATGAACGGATGAATAGTCAGTTAGTGATTACCCTTGCATAGGGTCCGTTTGGAACTTGGAAAGTGCTGTGGAAAGAAAACATGAAGGAAAATGGGAAGGAAATAAAGTATGAAGAGAAAAAAATTGATTTAAACTATTTAGGATGTTTTTAATTGGATTGAAATATTATTTCTAATCTGTTTAAGTCTTGTTTGGTCTGGTCTGAACTAGTCTGGTTGATTTTTGTTCTATATATATTTTACAACCATCAAAGTCTGGTCTTCTAATTATGTCTGGTTTGGGACTGAAACCAGTTCAATTAAAAACATCCTAAAAAAAGCAGTAGTTGTTTTTCTTAACTCATTTTTATTTAAATATATCTATTATAAAGACGAAGAAATTTAAGTATAAGTAAAATTTGATTTTCCATTGTATTTTGCAATGTATTACCAGAGATTTAAAATATCCTCTATTTTGCTCCATTTCCCACCTTTCCCCCAGTTCTATACATAGCCTTACTTGATTGGTCCTTCATAAAAACCCTTGAATTCATTTACTGCTCAGATTTCTTCTGTTAAAGCCGGAGCAATGATGTCTCTAGCAATTGACAGTCTAGGAGGTCTCTGGATATGGGGCAACTGCCCTCAGCCACAACAAGACAAGCCAGTTGATGCTAAATTTTCTATCGCATGCACTCCTAATCCAACACCTGTATGGAGCTTTCATCGGCACACTGTTGTTAAGGTGGCATGTGGAAATGAGCATATTGTGGCATTGGTTACCACAGGGGAAACGTATGAAGGGGATAATGATCTTGTGTGCTATTCTTGGGGTGGAAACAGTCATGGTCAATTAGGTTTGGGGGATAAAGAAAGCCGAATCTTTCCGGAAATTGTCAAACCCTTTAATTCCCAATCCCCTTGGACCGTTTATGAGGTGGCATGTGGGGCTTTCCACACAGCTTTACTATCAAAGAAAACCCAAAATGGCGTATTGGAAAGTGTTTGCTGGACATTTGGCCTAGGTGACAATGGGCAATTAGGTCATGGCACTAACCAAAGCCATTTATCCCCCGAACCAGTGAGAGAATTGCCAAGAAGTGCGACTCTCATTTCAATTGACTGCGGCTTGTTCCACACCAGTCTTATCTCATCAGCTGGAGATGTTTGGTCATGGGGAATGCAAAAAGGCATGGGTCTATGCCCCGATACAAGGTTCACCGGAGATGAAACTGGCGATGCAATGTTGCCTGTATTGATCCATTGTGAAAATGGGCATAATAAGTTTCAAGAACCTGTCCAAATTGTCTGTGGTGCAGCCCATACAGTTCTCCTTTCAGATTCTGGGTACAAGATCTGGTCGTGGGGACGGGGACGGAGTGGGGTACTTGGAACTGGTCAAACAACTGATACTTTCATTCCAATTCCCGCAATGTGGCCCCCGCCTCTAGATGAATATAAGAGCAAAGAAAGTGAAGAAGAAATGAAACCTACCAAGGAGGTCATTGAAATGGAGAAAAAGCTATATGCAGCCAAGATGGAGATAAATCAGCTTCGAACGAAACTATCTGTGATGGGAAAGTACGCTGGCATCCTTCACAGCTCTATATTTGGGAAACCGTTTGATGATAAACAAGATATCCCTGCCTCAGTGCACAGTGGGGGTACGTTTGAAATAGCAAAGGAGTGGGAAAACATGTTGGAGTGCTTGGATCGTGGAAAGCTAGTGAGGCTAGAGTTGTTTTACAGCAACATGCTTGCTGGTGTTAAGGATAGCATATTGAAGAAACGGATCAAGGAGATCGTTGTCGATTGCCTTGGCTCTTCCCGTTAATGCAATTAGTGAGTCCATAGGTTTCTCCAAGAACATAACTGTTGTATAGTCAAATGTTGTTTGACCAATGTGAATTATCAAGTTGTGTTGTAATTTGTTTTCATCATTTATCCCAATTGCGCGCCAGTGCAACTGATCCCATAGAGTTGGGATTACAATGGCCAACCGGTGTCTGGCCGTCTGGGAGGTGCAGTACATGTGTTGTGCAGTACATGCGATGGCATTTTGAAGAAAGAAAGAAAACCGTATACCACCCCAAGAAAAAACAATCTGCCAGCCGGCACTATTGTTCTCCTCATGCTTGATGAGAAACTTCTCAGAGAGTTTCTAAAATTGTGGTGCCATGTAGTTAAAATAATGTGTAGACGAAGATTAGATGGTTATTCATGCCAGAAACTTGACATTGCAACTTTAAAAAAACTAGGCGACGTATACTAAGTTGAAGTGTAGTCAATGTTCCAATCTTTTCTAACATTCAACTCTCAACTATCAATTGTTCGACCCCTCACTGTTTCAACATTTCAATTCTATTCATACTTTACATTATAATAATATGTATAACTTCAATAAATTTTTGGTACTAGTTGTAAGTTGATTACCATATTTTGTCTTTCGACTCTTGCCATGGCAAAATGATAAAAAAAATCACATTTTAGTTTTAATTTACGTTTATCTTGTAAATAAATATTGAGATAAAGTCTCATTGTTCATATTTTATTCATTGCAAAATTATATAAAAAAGCAAATTTTAATTTGCAAATCTTGCATAGAAAAGTTGCCCTCATACACCCGATTCAGTGCTGCTCGAAGTCCGATTGGCCAGCTCCTGATCCTGAGTAAATAATCAATCAATTCTTATCTGATTCCTATGAAGAGTAGAATAGAAAATATTTGGAGAGAAGAAGAGAAATTAAATAGAGAAATGATATGCTCAGTACGCAATAATGAGTTCATTTTTTCCCCACAAGAATCCATGGTTTATAATTCGATAAGAATGAATGAAAGTTCGAATATACTTAAATTTGTAAAGAGTTTTAAAAGTCCATATTCAATACATCTAAACTTTTAAATATATGGACTCTTAAAAGTTTGACACTTATTTCAATACATTGTTAAACGATTTAAATAATACTCTGTAGTAGTAGTAGTATGGCTGGACTCGGGCCGGTTCGGGCCCGGTTCGGGCCTGGGCCCGGCCGGGCCTCGGGCCAGAAAACTAGGGCCCGGGCCCGAACCGCCGGTGGGCGGTTCCGGTTCCGGTTCCGGGCCAAACCGGGCCGGGCCGGGCCGGGCCGAACCGGCCCACTTAATTTTTTTTTTTTTTTTGGTCTCCTATTTAATCCCCTACCCCTCCCCCTCAACCCCAAACCATCCCAAACCACCTCAAATGGCCCAAAATACCTAATCCAACCTAAAACTTAAAAAAATTTCAAAAAAAAAAAAAAATAAAATAAAATCCGGCCCGGACCGGGCCCGAACCGGCCGGGCCGGTTCACCAAAACCTGGGCCCGGGCCCGAACCGCCCAGCAGCCGGGCCGGGCCGAACCGAACCGGTGGACCCACCGGGCCCCGGGCCGGGCCGGGCCTAACAGTAACCGGGCCGGGCCGGTTCCGGGCCGGGCCGCCCGGCCCGAGTCCAGCACTAAGTAGTAGTAGTTATTTATATAAGCTCATTTTATTAAAAGTTTTCTATTATACGGACTAAGAAATCTAAATACATATAATTTGATTTTCCTTCATGCTTTAAATGTATCACCATACATTAAAAAAACAAAAAAATACTCTATTCTTTTCGTCATATCCCTACCAATCCCAAACTTAGCATTATTTGATTGGTCCTTTATAATTAAAAAGCCCCTTATATTCATTTCTTGCTCAGATGGCATCTGTTGAAGCTGGAGCCTGGAGCAATGATGTCTCTAGCAATTGACAAATGACAATCTAGGAGGTCTCTGGATATGGGGCAACTGTCCTCAGCCACAACAAAATAAGCCCATTGATGCTGACTTTTCTTTCAAATGCACTCCCAATCCCCCACACCTGTCTGGAGCTTTCATGGACACAGGCCAACTCCCATCCCAAAATTTAAAATTATACTCGTATGTATTAGTGTAAACTTTATTTGAAAAAAGTTTTATGCCGCCCCCTCTCAACTTTCGCTCACGACTATGCCCATGTCCATATGGGAAACATTTGAATGGAATAACTATATACTTCTGTTCCAACTTCTCTTCTGCAACGTGCCCCCCACCCTCACACACAAAGGCTAGATAAGAACAAAATGGCTAAGAAGAAGTGAAACCTGCTAGGGACTTTGCTGAAATGGAGGAAAAGCTATATGCAGCCACAATGGGTATAAATCTGCTGAAATGAAGGAAAAGCTATATGCAGCCACAATGGGTATTAATCTGCTGAAATGGAGGAAAAGCTATATGCAGCCAAAATGCTTGCCGGTGTTAAGGATAACATATTGAAGAAATGGATCAAGGAGATTGTTGTGGACGGCCTTGGCCTTCCCCACCAATGCAATCAGAGTCCATAAGTTTCTCCAAGCAACATGGTTTTTGTGTAGTCAAATGTTGTTTGGTTAATATGAGTTATGGAGTTATGTTGCAAACCGTTTTCGCCATTTATCACAATTGCATGTCAGTGGATGTGGGGTTCTAGAGATTTTCTACTGGATTACTGCTTATACAGCCGATCCCATTCATTTTGGATTACAAAAGTGTTTGTGGCCTAATATCCAAGGATGTTTTTACTTGGACTAATATTTGTTGGTCTGGTCTAAACTGGTCTGGTAAATGTCTGGTCTCTATGTATTTTATAAATGTTCAAGTCTGATCTGATCCGAGACTGAAAACAGTCCAAGTAAAAACATTCTAACTGGTGTCTGGCAGTACAACACTAGTGTTCTCCTGCTCCATGAAGTATATGTTGTAGAAGAAGATTATGGTTCTTCATGGACCATGGTTGAAAGTTGAAACTTGACTTTGCAACTTTTTAAAGTTTACAAACAAAAAAAATTAAAAACAGTAGGCAATGTAAACTAAATTGCCTAATAATTATTCATTCAAATATAAAGAAATTACAAACAAAACACACATGAAGGTGATATATTGAGAAAAGGTGCAAATAGGCCCATGTACTAACAAAAAAAGGTCAAATAAGCCCTTATTTAGGAGGTTCTATACGGCCGTCGTCATTTCGGGTGGTTCCCGGTGGAATTTTTTGATGAAATTTTTTGAGCATCTTATTTATCAAGTCTAGTTAACTCATACCCAAATTTCAGTTAAAAATTCAATCGGGAAGGCATTCAAATGAATTCTTGAAGATAACTGCGCTTCTAACTGCACAGTTATTTTCAAGAATTCATTTGAATGCCTTCTCGATTGAAGTTTTAGCTGAAATTTGGTATGAGTAAACTAGACTTAACGAATAAGATGCTCAAAAAAATTCATCAAAAAATTCCACCGGGAACCACCCCAAATGGCGACGGCCGGACAGAGCCTCCTAAATAAGGGCTTATTTGACCTTTTTTTGTTAGTACATGGACCTATTTGCACCTTTTCCCGTGATATATTATACATTTGCTATAAAAGATTAAAAGATGCAAATTAATGTAAAACAAGCTACAACATATCATTCTAATTATAAGGAAATGAAAGTCGAAATTTAAACAAATGAAAATTTAGTGTGAAGTATAAAATATACACTACACTAAAATTAAATAAACACGTGTAGATAAAAATTGAGATAGTGAAATCCACTACAGAGGATATCCAGATGGGTAAAAAAACTGAACTAGGTACCCATTTTTTTTACACCAGACCAGCAGAGATTCTAATTACTCCAAAATAGGTCCTGATGGTTTCTGGTTTAGTTTATTTCTAATTTGCTCCTTTTTTTAAAAAAGAAAAAAAAACAATGTAAAAGCTTAACCAGAACTAATTTACGTATTTCTTAGCCTGCCTTCACTAACTCTGTTTTTGGGTAAACCATTGAATGGCATTCAACATTAACCACAAACAAATGACAACGATTTGAACAGCTTAGCTTACGTGGAGTGTTGAACACACCATTGCAGCTTAGTCAATAATTATGAACCACAGAGCACATGCAGACCGCAGAGTATTAGGTAGTTTCTTTAATATGTTTGTAATTTTTCACTTCAATATATACATAAACCTACAGGCTACAAGCTTTATTCTACATGATATATTATCTCTAGCATTCTTTTGTAATAAAAACGTGTGCAACAATCAGATGGTGGAAGATATTTTAATACTATGTAGTTGAAACTTGAAAGTACTCCCTCATGCTTTTTTGTAGAAGTTGTGGAGTTAACTTTACAAGAGATAGACATGTCCCTTGGTTTAAAGCACAACTTTACCTTGATTTAAATTTTGCATATATTACTTGCCATTTAAATATGCAAAGCTTAAACAATGACATATCAATGAAATTAACCAAGACAAACCGCCAAATCATTGAAGGCTCATGAGAAGGGCCAGGGATATATATATTTATATCGTAAAGTATGAATCAATCCTGTATCAATAGACAAACCCAATCCTTAAATATACATTGATTTTTTTCATGAAAAAAGGGAAAAAAAGAATAATAACAAATGAATATAGGGCTGAAAGAAAAACTTACACAGGAACACTGTTGCAGCCAACAACAGGTAGGTCATAATATAGCCAAAACTGATATAACCTATAAGCATATCAAGCATAGGGAACTAGACTTCACCTAATATGTTTTTGCAGAAACATTAATAAGGCACATCATGGACCACATTTTTTCGAGATTATTAATGGTCTGTTTGGAGGGGAGGATTTTGGAGGGTTTAGTCTGTCTCGTCTTGATATATAGAATGTTTCTAAAAACAAACAAAAGCCGATTGTAGTGTTATAGACTAAGCCTTCTAAAGTCGTTCTCTCTCCAAACACCCCCCAACAAACTTGTGTCCAAACACAGCCTAAGCCGGAATGAATAACTATACAGGAGAGCACTGCCACTTAACTAAGCAACAGGAGCACCGCGGTTAATACTTCACCCACGATCTATGCTTTGGAGACTATCAGAATATCACATACCTTTGCTATACCGACTCATCAGAGCTTTTTGGGCAAATTGTAAGTCTTCTTCAGGAATTTCGTAGCAGTTTCATCATTCCTGTGACATATGACACGCAAAAGTGTGTTTGGTTCAGTGGGCTTCCACTGTCCTGATGTTGGGGGCAACGGAAGCCTCGACTTAGCAGAGGACCCATATGCCTCTACAGTAAGTCTACGAAAACTTTCTACAAGGCTTTCTGTATCTGTGTTGTACAGTGAAAGAACATCCCTTACCGTCGTTGAGTACTTGTTTATAACATCAATCGGCAATCCATCTCCGTTTGCCCAAAATAGATCCTTGAGAGAATCAAAATCTTCCTCTAGTATTTTTGAGTCATGTCTAGTGAATGCACGGGAAGGTCCTCCAGCAAGCAAGACAAACAAGAAAGCATCAAAGG